TTATAGGCTGCGCAGCTGTTGGCTGGGATCAACGTTAGTTTATTGTCTGACAGTTCTAGAGGCCAGAAGTCTAAATTCAGGGTGTCTGCAGGGTTGTGCTCTCTGAAGGCTCTAGGGGAGAACCCTTCCTTGCACTCCTCGTTTCTTGTGGCCGGCATTCCTTGGCATCCTTTGGCTTGCGGATTCATCCCTCCAGTCTCTACCCATCTTCATATGGCACTTTCTCTGTGTGTCTGTATCTCTTCTTTCCTTGTAATGATATCAGTCATTGTGGCGCAGTGGTTAAGAGCTTGGCTAGTAACCAAAAGGTCAGCAGTTCAAATCCACCAGCTGTTCCTTGGAAACCCTGCAGGCCAGTTCTACTCTGTCTTGTAGGGTCACTCTGAGTTGGAACCGACTCGACGGCAAAGGGTTTGGTTTGATTTACTTCAGCATGACCTCATACTAACACGGTCACATCTGCAGAGATCATGTTTCCAGATAAGGTCTCATTCGCTGGTACCAGGGTTAGGGCTTGAGTGTATTTCTAGGGGGGATGTAATGGCTTCTGTAGAACCAGTTGGGTCTCCCTTGCTCTTCTTCCACCAAGAAGCTTTCAGCAGCTTGACAGCTCGGTGCCAGCGGATCTTCTGACCCTGTGGTTTCTTCTTGACTCGGAGTCCTGATGTCTTAGGGGAGGGTCTCTTCTCACATGGCGCGCGGCTCTGGGCAGGGCTGCTTCGGGTTGTGAGAAGCCCGAGTAGATCAGGTTCTCGGTTGCTCCCTTTGGCGTCTTGGCTGTGGTTTTTGCCTCCAAGCCGGCCTCGAGCGCTCTGAGCCCAGCTGGTGGGCCAGTTACATGGGTATCAGTTGACCACAATGCTCCTTCTGATCCTGGGCATTGGGCTTCTGGGCCGCAGGGTCCTGGTCTTCTAGGACACTTGGTTACATCTACAAACATCCTCTTTCTGGGGACGCTGGCTGGTCTGGACAGAGGCAGCTGCAGTTGGGGTGTCTCCAACCCCTGGGTTAAAGGGTGTAGCTCAGAGAAGGGCAGGGACCTGCCTGGCCACACGGCCAGGGAGTTGGAGACAGAGCTCTGGTCCCCCGTTCTGGCCTCTTTACACCCCTAACCTAAACATTGAGGCTGCCAGCTGCGTTTTGAGTGATGTTTTCAAAGGCCCCTAACTTACTGCTTGGTGGCTGGAGTCTGCACTTGTCTCTTTTAAGATGGGTTTAAGTTGCTTGCAATTTAGTAAATTTGAATTTATTAATGGTTTTAAATACTGTTTTCATAATGCCAAGCTAGGTGTGGGGGTATAATCCAGAATTGCGAATTGGGAGGCTTGGGACCTGCTGGCTTCCTTGTGACCTTGGTCTCACTGTCCTTGGCTGCTCTCCACCTCTCTGGGGGTGCCCAGTGGGGAAGGAAGGTGAGCTCCCTGCTCCCTGAGGGCGCTCAGACCCCGTAACTGCATATTAGGTATAAAAAAGACATCTGCTCTTAGACTGCCTCTGGGTCTGGGGTCTTCTCTTCTGAACTCTGAGGGTGACTGGCCCAGGCAGCCCACGACTCAAGTGTCCTCAGCCCTGGCACCAGCTGCTCCCGTTGCCTCACCCCCTCCTGGCTCAGCACAGCCTGGGAGGAGGGGGGCCTTGTCCCTGATTTCCAACCTGCCTGTCCACAGTCCCCTGCAGAGAGCTGCGACCTCCTAGGCGACATCCAGACCTGCATCGAGAAAAGCCTGGAGGGGAAGCCCCGCCGGACCCGCTCCAAGGCCGTCGGTGGGTCCTCACCCCTGGGGCAGCACAGCAGGGACCCGGCACGGGGCTTGACCTGGTGGGGCAGGCCAGCAGTGCCCTGCCTGGCCTCAGCCCCCTTCCTGCTTGCAGACTCCCAGGAGCCACCATGGGTGGAGGTGCTGGTGGAGATCCTGCTGGCCCTGCTGGCCCAGCCCAGCCACCTGATGCGCCAGGTCGCCCGGAGCGTGTTTGGCCATATCTGCTCCCACCTGACTCCACGCGCTCTGCAGCTAATCCTGGACGTGAGTTGAGGACTTTGGGGACCTAGGTCCCAGAATGGGGCCGACTGAGCACCAGGCTGAACCAGAGGGCCCTGTCATCCCCCCAACTTACCTCACCACAGTCCTGCAGAGGGGGCAGGATCTCCTCCCTTAACAGATATGGCCCCAGGGGCAGGGGGCGCTCACTCAAAGTCTGCTACTGGGCAAGTTTGTGCTGGGGCGGGGGGCAGGGAAAAGGGCTCCTGAGAAGGGGTCATAGGTCAGGAAGCTTCACGAAGCAGTCGGGTAGGCCAAGGAGGGCTCTGGGCCTAAACATTGGAGGGTATGGCCTTCTTCCCTGGCCTCAGTTTGCCTCCCAGAATGCGTCTGCCTTTGGGCCAAGACTGGACAGGAGCACGGTCAGGGAGGCAGCCAAAAGGGCCCAGTGATCTAAGGGCCAGGGCAGCAGATGGGTCGGCAGTCTGGGCGTCCTCCACAGGTGCTGAACCCTGACAAGAGCCAGGATGAGGATGACAACGTGGTGGTCACAGATGAGGAGCAACCGAAGGTGAATACGGCACAGGTGCTTGCCAGCGGGGTGGGGCGGGGCGGGCCGCGGGGAGGCCTGACACACCTGCCACCCACAGAGCATGAGCAGGGACGACTCGGACAGCGAGGAGGAGGAGAAGGAGGAGGAGGAGAGTGACGTGGAGGAGGAGAGCGATGAGGAGGCACGGGACGGGGATGTGGACCAGGGCTTCCGGGAGCAGCTGATGGCAGTGCTGCAGGCAGGGAAGGCGCTGGTGAGCAGGAGCCAGGGCAGGGGGCTCTCGGGCCCATCTCTGGGTCTGTCTGTGTGCCCGCGTGACACCAGGTTGATGGCTGGGCATCTGTCCCTCAGGGTGGGGCGGACAGCGAGGACGAGCAGGAGGAGGAGCTGGGGGATGAGGCTATGATGGCCCTGGACCAGAGCCTCGCCAGCCTCTTCGCCGAGCAGAAGCTGCGCATCCAGGCAAAGAAGGATGAGAAGAGCAAGCTGCAGAAGGAGAATGTGCTCCGGCGGGACTTCCAGATCAGGGTGAGGCTGGAGCAAGCCGAGCGTCCCAGTCTGTCCCTCGCCACCCTGGCCCTTGCCCTCCCCCTGAACACGCTCCAGCACATGGCTGAGCCCACCCCTCCTGGCCACAGGTGCTGGACCTGGTCGAGGTGCTGGTCACGAAGCAACCCGAGAACCCCCTAGTCCTGGAGCTGCTGGAGCCACTGCTGACCATCATCCGGCACAGCATGCGCACAAGCAGCTCCAAGCAGGAGCAGGACCTCCTGCACAAGACGGCCCGCATCTTCACGTGAGCAGGGGCAAGGGGCCAGGCCTCCGGGGGGGTGGGCACAGGTAGAAGGGGTTCGAGTCTGGGTCTGCCTGACTTGGGGCTCAATGCGCAGCCACGGGGCACCAGTCACTCAGTGATGCGCACATGGTCCATCCTTTCCCCTAATGCTTCTAGTGCTGCGTGTGCTAGAGCCAGGGTCCTCGGGGCACCGTCCGGGCCCTGTGCTCAGAGGTCGGTGTAGGGAAATCACACAGTCGTTAGGCTGTGGCAGTCCCGAGTGGGCTGTGATGGGGGCTGGGTAGGAGACAGTGGGAGCAGAGTGCTGGGGACACCTAGTCCGTCCTGCAGTTCCAGAGAAGGCTTCCCAGAGCGGTGACGGCAATGCTGGGAGCAGGCCAGGAGGGCGTGGGCAGGGCAGAAAGTCAGTGTCCCCAGCAGGAGCCGGTCAGATGCGGTTGGAACATAGACCAGCGGTGCGGCAGGAAAGGCTTCGTGCACCCTGGTCCTGGCAGCACCGCGGAGCCACCAAGGCCTTTTCAGCAAGCGCATGTGTGTGGGGCTGGGCTGGTTTGCCACGGTGTGGGGAGAGGGATTTGGGAGGGGAGCCCAGCCAGGGGGCGACGACAGGCATCCGGAGAGAGACGAGGCAGGAAGCAGATCCAGTCCTGCCTTCTAGGAACTCAGGTGGTGGGGGGCACGAATGCAAGTATAGGAGGCAGTGGGGAGCCTGTGGCTGGCAGTGCCACCCCCGGCACATCTGTGTCCACCCCTAGTGGCACTTTCTTAACCATTACTCTCTGCCACCTGTTCTGACTGTCAGAGTCCAGTTTGCTGAGAGTCGTGCCTCTCGCCTCCACTTGTTCCCAGCCCCACAGGACCCCACAGGGCTTAGGCATACAGACTCTGGTCTCCCTTTGCCCAGGGCCCAAAGGCCACTGCCCCAGGAGAGGCAGGGGCAGATAGGAGATCTGGAATGGGTGGGGTGTTTAGCCTGTGACGCAGCTTCAGCCTAGGCAGCACTGTTCCCCTCTGGCTTGCCGTCTGCCTGGGCACCCTGAGCACCCCGAGCACCCCAGGCTCCCTGAGCCCCACACAGCCTCAGCACATGCACACAGGTTGCTCTGGGCCTCCGTCCACGACCTTGGTCAGATCCGTTTTCTCCTCTAGGTCTTTGTCTCTCTCTCTGTGAGATGGGGCTGAGGGTCCTGATGTTCAGAGTGAGCTCTGCTTGCTGGAAGCAGGGGTGGAGAGGACATTCTGACCAGCCCTGCCTCTACCCCCGCAGGCATCACCTGTGCCGGGCCCGGCATTACTGCCATGACGTCGGCAACCACGTGGAGGCGCTGCACGCACAGCTGGAGCGGCTGGTGCAGCAGGCCGGCCGCCAGGCTGACTCCTCCGTCGCCCTCTACTACTTCAACGCCTCTCTCTACCTGCTCCGGGTCTTGAAGGGCAACACTGCTAATGCACTGCCCCTCAAGACCCCAAAGAAGCAGAAAGCCAGCGCCAAGGCCAAGGTCCCAGAGGTGAGCGGGCCCGGTCAAGAGGGCTGGAGGAGGAATGGCTCCAGGTAGCCCAGAGGGCAACCCCAGCCAGCAGGCCAGGGCCCGTGTGCCCATTTCACAGAGGGGAATTGAGGACCAAACCTTCAGCCTTGTAAAGGCAGCCCAGGCTCTCCCTGGCACCACACCAGCTCTTTCTCACCTGGCCTAGGCTACCAGCTGCTTGGACTTGAAACGCGTGACCCCGGTCTACTCATCAGCGCTGAGCTCCTTCCTGAGCAAGCGCAACAGCCCACTCACCGTCCCCATGTTCCTCAGCCTTTTCTGCCGGCATCCGGTAAGTGTGGGGGCCAGCCCTACCCCCCAGGCCCTGCTCAGCCCAGCCCCACCTCACGGCCCTGTTCCCTCTCCCTAGGTGCTCTGTAAGAGCCTGCTCCCCATCATGATCCAGCACGTAACAGGCCCAGTGCGGCCCCGTCAGCAGGTAAGGGACTTCCTGGACCCCAACCTGGGCTGGCCTGAAATTACCCCTTTGACCAATTTCTGGTTGGGTGTTTGTGAGGCCTGAGAGTGCTGACCTACTGCCCTGGCGAGGTTGAGGGCTGGCTCACCCCTGCCCCACTGACCTTAGCTGTGGCGCATGCTCCCTGAAGGGAATGATAGGCATGCGTGGGCCCCTTCCCCTACCTCAAGCACAGAGTGACTGAGAGGAAGGACTCACTGCTGGTGAGAGGGTGGGGCCAGCTGGCTGCTTTGCCCCCAAAGCTACCACTTCCCCTCTGGCCTGAGCCCCCCGGCCCCTCCCTGGGGGTTTGTGCTCTGGCCCCCACATAGGAGTCCCCTGGCAGTGTCTGTGGGGGTGGGACACGGAGTGTTGGGAGACTAGAGGAAGATGGCACTGAGCTGGTAAGAGGGCCAGGAGCTATCTCAACCTGAGGTCCCATCTGTCTGGCTGGGAGTCCTTGCTGCTCTGTGAGCTTTGTCCCCCATCTGTATAAGAGGAGGGGACAGGAGCAGATGATTGCTGGGCCCAGAGCTGCGGGGACAACCTGGGCAGGTTGCGCCCAGAGCAGCAGACAGCCCTCAACCGCAGCCTGGAGTTGTCGTGGCCTTATTGGGCGCCCAGCAGCCTCCCAGAGCTCTGGGGTTCCCTAAGTCTTGGCTTTGCCTGCTGAGGCCCCTGGTGACCACATGTCCCCACCCCAGGCCCAGGCCTGCCTGCTGCTGCAGAAGGCCCTGTCCATGGGGGAGCTGAGACCGTGCTTTGAGCACTCTGAGTGGGAGCAGCTCATCGGCCAGGTGCTGGCGAAGGTCACTGAGGTAACAGCCATGGATCCCTCCTCTGACCCCATAGGGCATTCAAGGAATGGTTCTTCAGGGGCTAGGGAACAGGGAAACATTTCTTCTTCTGGGTCTTAGTCTCCTACGTGGTAAAGGGGAGGGAGGCTTTGCCAGAGCACCTCAGCAACCTTGCCACCTCCTCCCTAGAACCTGCGGACGCTGGGTAAGGCGGAGGGCAAGTCGGAGCAGCAGAGGGAGCTGTCCTCCTTGGAGCTGCTCGTCACGCTCCTCAAGACCATCCACGTCCAGGTGAGGCAGGAGCCCACGGGCCTGGGGCCTCGCGGGAAGGGCATCACGTGGGGGTCTCTGGGAACAGACTTCCTGGGAGAGCTGGGGAGGAGCCAGTCTGAGCACGGGCTCGGGGTGGAGGGCTTGAATGCCAGGGTGAGGTCTGGGTAGCTAGAGAGCCATGGACGGAGGTGGTGTGGAGTTGGGCAGGAGAGTGGTTGCGCCCAGGCCTGACCGGGAGGTGGGGGGAGAGCTTTATTGCCATTCTGCAGTAAGAATGCTGAGAAGGAGCTAGAAGGGCTGAAGGTGGTGGGAGGAGTTGATGTGGGCAGCAGGTAGGGAGAAGCCCAGATGGCTCCAGGTTTCCAGGCCTGCGATGAGGGGGTGGAGCCATCACTGGGAGGGGGCAGTTTGTGGGTGGTGATGAGTTTGAGGCATGTGGACTGTGAGGTGCTCATGGGCGATCAAGGTGGAGGACCAGAGACAGCTGCAGTTGGGGATCTATCTCCCCCAATCTGGCCCAGAGGGAAGGGTTTGGAGTCTTCAGTGTGTAGATGCTGGTTAAGCCCAGGTTGCGGGTGAGCTTGCCAGGAGGGTGCTGGGAGTGCGGGGCGGTGCCCCACATAGGAGGACCTTGCAGAGCAGAAGCAATGCTCCAGGTATAGGTGGAAGCCAGGAGAGGGGGTGTCCTGGGAACCAGTGGACTTCAAAATAACCCGTTATACGTGGCAGGAGGGTGAGCCAGGAAGAAGGGCTTTGGCACCTGAGATCACGTCACTGTGCCCTCAGCAGTGGGCGGGCCAGAGCCATTGCCCAGGGAGGAGGGGTGAGCGGAAGGTGAGGGAGCAGGGCCGGGCCGCAGACCTGGCTGTGGAAGGGGCAATAGCATGGCCCCCATGAGAGGGCGCTCTTCCTCCCAAGGCAGTGAGGGAGCCTGATTACGGGCAGAGAGAGGCTGCGGGGCGAGGCGGCAGGCGGTCAATCGAGGGGCAGTCATTGTGCCTCTCTGGGGGCCAGGAGCCTGGAGAGACTCTGCCCCCATCCCTACTACAGCACAATGTCCTGCCCCTCCACAGAAGCTGACCGTGGACCTGACCACCATCCTGGGCCTGCTGCAGGGCCTCCAGCCAAGCCTGCAGCAAAGCCTACAGCAAGGGGCACACTCGGCTGGCTCCAACCGCCTCTACGACCTCTACTGGCAGGCCATGAAGTTCCTGGGAGTCCAGTATGTCCAGGGAGGAGGCCCCCACACCTTGGGAGGGAGCTGGAAAGACCCTCCTGTTTTGGGCAGCTTGGGTCCGGTAGCAGCATGGGGTTGAGGGCCACTCCTGCCCTCACTGGGGCCTTTCTCTGCCAGGCGCCCCAAGTCAGAGAAGAAGGATACCAAGGGGATTCCCAGCGACACCCAGAGCCCCATTAGCATGAAGCGGAAGAAAAAGGGATTCTTGCCAGAGACCAAGAAGCGCAAGAAACGCAAGCCGGAAGATGCCACAGAGCAAGATGCCAAGCCAGCGGCCCCTGGTGGAAACCAGCCCCCCAGCTCAGGCAAGAAGAAGAGGCGCAGGACAAAAGCCACGGCCTCAGCCCAGTCCCAGGTGAACGAGAAGCCAGCGGCCAAGAATCCTGCCCCCAGCACCCTCATCACAAGCCCCAGCACCCCTGCCACCACCACCACGAGCCCCAGCACCCCTGCCAAGACCCCAAAGCTTCAGAAGAAACAGCAGAAGCTGTCTCAGGTAAATGGAGCTACACTCACAGAGTCTGCTGGTGAAAAGCATCAGAAGAGGCTTCCCAAAAAGGGGGTCTCAGGCAAGTCGCCACAGCCCACCCTGCCACGGAAAAAGCCAAGGCTCTCTTTGGCCAATGGGAGCCCCAGCCTCCTCCGGAGTGGGGCCAAGAAGAAGGTGCAGCTGAAGAAGGGAGTTAAGCCCTAAATGTAGGCCCTGCCATCCAGCCCCTGCCTCCATCAGCCCCTGAGACTCCTATTTTTCTACCATAATTTTAATAAATAAATCACAATTTATGCTGCTGCCTTCTGGCACTGGGGGAGGGGGTCTGCTGTCAGCTCGCTAGGAGGTCCTGCTGAGCAGCAAGCACTGTTTGGTGCCAAGGGCAGTGCAGACCCCTGGCCCTGGGCTGGGCCCTGCCTCTGCTCGCTGGCTGGCCAGTCTAACCCTAACCTCTGTGGGCTTTGACATCTTTGGGTGATGCGAGCAGTTAAGCACTCAGCCACTAACCAAAAGGTTGGAGGTTCAAGTCCACCCAGAGGCACCTCTGAAGAAAGGCCTGGTGATCTGCTGCTGACAAAGCAGCCATTGAAAACCCTATGGAGCCCAGTTCTACTCCGACACACACGAGGGTACCGTGAGTCAGAATCGACTCTGTGGCATCTGATTCCATGGGGCTGGGACCTTGGCTTCCAGGGCGCCGTGGGCCAAGTTCAGGGCTCTGTCATGGGGACAGCAGGGCCAGTACCCAGGCCTGTGCACAAGTCAGCGTGTGCACACAGCTGCCGCGTGGCAGTGTGGACCACCCACACTGGCCGGGCCCAGGTGCGACCACTCCGCATGTCCTCCCACCCCAGGCCGTGCCACGGGAGCCACCAGGGCGTGATTTAAATAGAGGTTTATTTCTTCATTTACAAGAGGAATATATTTGGCTTCTCTTAGACGCTGAGATTCACAATCAGCAGCTCTAAAAAATAAAGGAGCAGTTTGGCTTCCGGAAGGAAGAGGAGGCAACACTTGGACCTGGTTCTTGTACAACAAGAAAACATTGCTGGGGCCCCAGCCGAGGTCGGGGTGGGGGGGGGGGTGGAGGCCAGGCTGGGCTTTGGGGGATACCACCCCCTTGCCAGGCCCCCCCAGGGTGCCCCAGGGCTTGGTGGGGAGTGGGCGTTCCACTAGCTTATACACCACTGAAGACAGGGCTAGCCAGTAGGTAACTATGGGGCAAAGAGAGCATTGTCCAAGCTGGCTCTTGGGGTCTCCTACTGGCAACAAGGGGTGCCCCAGAACAGAACCCCCTTAGGTTCCAGCAAATGTGCAGGAGGTATGGAGCAGGAGGATAGGCTCCACCAAGGAGCCACAGCACACAAGCTGTGAGGATAGGGGTGTATGCGAGTGAGCGTGGGTGATCGGAGGCCCGGTGAAGGCTTGGGCCACTAGGGGGAGTAGTGGAGTGAGTGGAAGCAACAGCAGCCCATGTTTGGGTGGAGGTGTGCCTGGGAGTGGTTCTGGGGTATTGGCCCATCCGGGAGGACCTCCACCTCCACCAAGCACATTCCCTGGCACAGGAAGCTTGGTGGACGGCTGCTTCCTCTGGCCGCCAGAGCCCTGGCTGCTGCCCCATGAATTCTGGGAATGGTCCCCTGGGCCCTGCCCCCTGGAAAAGCCCAGCCCAGCCTGGGGAGGAGGAGTAAGTTCCTGGCTCCTGGGGGGTGGGGAGACATGGACAGCAGGGGTGCTCTAGGGAGCCCTGCAGAGGTGGGTGGGTAACCCCCAGAGATTAGCTTGACTGCCACCTCAGCCCAGATGCAGTGGCGATGTGTAGCTTCCACCAGGGCCTTCACCCCTGGTGATGCCAACTCTGTCCTGGCATGGGCCCCATCTGGGAGACCACCAGGCTGAGAGCCAGCCCGTGGCTGTGGTGGCCAGTGTCCTCCAGAATGAGCTGGCAGGTCTGGGGACAGCCCAGTGACCTGGGTACCTGGCTCTGCTCGCCAGGCTGAATCCAACATCCCAAGGCGGTGGCCCTGCACTCCAGGCCCTTAGGGATCCTCAGAGCCTGAACCGCCTCCCTGAGGCCTGGGCCACCTCTTCTCTGTATGGTCCAGAGGCTGTTGGTTCTTCAAAGCTGCAGACGGCACCTTGCCCAGCAAGCTGCGTGGGAAAGTCCAGCCCTCTGGCCCCATGGTCCAGGCAGGGCAGGGACTTGCCCAAGATCACATAAGCCGGTGACAGACCAGGCTGTCCCAATATACCCGCCACTTGGGGTTGTCGTCTCCCTTGGCCCCAGGGGCTCTGCAGCCCCAATCCAGGGCTGGGCATCTGTCCAACTGTGTGGCTCCAGCAAATGCAGCCTTCCAGGCTGGCTGAGGACATGGCCTCTTCTTGGAGCCGGGGCCACTCCGCAGTCCCAGACCGGAGAGGGTGGGTGCCCAGCCTTGGGTCACCCAGAAAGCTCTGGGACAACCCAGAAGGGCCAGGGTGCCAGAGGACACTTCCCAGACTAGGTAGGACAGTGGGTTCTTTGTTGTCCCAGCAGCACCTGGGGGGAAGGGTCAGAGGTCAGAGGTGGGGTCTTTGGGAGGGACCATTCCAGGGCTTTGCTCCTGCATTTTCCTTGCTTTTGGGGCAGAAAAGGGAGTGGGCAAGTGGCTACCCTGGGTCTTGGCGCGGCTGGGAAGCTGCAGCCCCAAGAGGCCAGGCCCTGAGGAAGGTCAGAAAGCCAGAGTCAGCTGTGGCACCTCTAGGGGGACAGAAGGGCTCCTTTCTGGCCCTCCCTTTTCTGCCCAAATCTATTCTTCTGGGCGCTTCTGAGGGAGTTCCTGGCCAGTCCAAGCCCTGACCTGTGCCCTCAGCAGTTCTGAGGAAGGAAGGGGGAGCGATTTACTGGAAGAAGGAGGCTGCTCCCCCTCCCATAGTTCATCAGTAAGTTCAGGCAGTGTTTCAGGAGGAAGGACCAAGCACAGAGCTGGTGGGATGTGCTTGGGCAGGGGTGACTCATGAGGGGCTGCTCCTGGTTCCAGAACAAGTCCCACAACAGCCCTTCCCCTCTAAATGCTGGCCCCTTCCCCTCCCACAAGGGGTCCCTGGGTGGTGCGAACTGTTCATGCACTTGCTGCTAACTGAAGGGTTGGAAGTTCGAGTCCACCCAGAGGCATCTTGGAAGAAAGTCCTGGTGATCTACTTCTGAAAAACCAGCCATTAAAACCCCTATGGAGCACAACTCTCTGACACACACAGGCACCACGAGTCCCCTGGTTGGTTTCTTTGGTTCCTCCCACAAGCTGTCTGGTCCTCAACCCCCGTGGGCCTCCCTGGCCTGCACTCACCACCTCAGACTTTCACGGATGTGGGCGGCATCATCAGTTGGTTCACCCTGGGGAAGAGACGGGCGGGGGTCAGGGCGGCAGGTCAGCAGGGGCCAGGCCCGGGCACTGCTGTGGCACGTCGCGTCGTGGGGGCCGGCTGACCGGAGGTTCTGGGCAGGGACCTCGTCAGCCCCAGGGGGAGATGGGAGAGCCCAGGGGTGGGGAGAGGAGAGAGAGAGAGGAGTAAAGAGAAAAGGAGAAAGAAATCAGAAAATGAGAAAAAGTGGGGGGGGGCCTGCACTGCAAACCATTAGCTCCAGAACCACCACACATAGGGGCCTCCCACCCACAAACCTGGGCCACAGGGACTCAGTCTGGATGTGGGACTGAGGCTGGGGGCAGCCTCACAAGGACAGGAAGGCTTGGGGTACAGTCTATGGCAGAGGCCAGGTTACACCAGCCCAGGGTAAGTCATTTTATCCCCCAACCACCCAGGGAGGGAGGGGCTGTCACAGCGAAGGGAGCAGGCTGAAGGGCGTCAGGCCCATCCCCCGCCCCCACTCACTGCTGCTCAGCCTTGGCGCGGTCACTGAGGAAGAAGAGGGCGGTGGCGAGGAAGAACATGCCACCCAGGACCACGATGAAGGGGCAGAGCATGAGAGCATAGCCCAGGCTCAGGAACTCCCAGAGCGGGGAGTCCTTGGTGCTCTGACGGATCAGGTCCGAGATCTGCAGGGATTGGGAGGGCAGGTGTCCAGGCAAAGCCTCCTCCAAAGCACCCACCCACCTTCACCCAGGCCAGCCCGCTGCCCCCGGGAACTCACAAAGCCGATGAGGTAGGGGCTTCCAGCGTCTCCCAGCAGGTGGGAGGTGAAGCTCTGCAGGGCCACAGCGGTGGCCCGGCGGGTGGGGATGACCACATACTGCAGAAGAGGTGGGCAGGTCAGTGGCCAGAGGAGCCAGGCCCACCACCTGGCCTCATCCCGGGGTCGGCGGAACTCCTGAAAGCCCCCGCACTCTCCGACTCACTCCTGCCTTGCTGTCTGGACACCTCCCTCTCCTGGGTTCTTCCCTTCACCACCCTCTCCTTCGCTGCCCACTCCTGGGGGTGCTGTTCTTCTCCATCGTCCCCTCTCCTCCCCAGAGCCAGACCTTGCCCGCTCACAGCTTCAGTCACTACCTCTGACGACCTCCATCCCCAGCCCAGACCACCAGGCCTCCAGACCCAGATCCCAGATGCCTCCTAGACACTTCCACACGGATGGCCCCCAACACCACTGCTCAGCCTGCCCCAGACTGAATCATCATGGGCCCCACGCCTGCAGCCCTCCAGGCCCCCATCTCAGAGATGGAAACCTTTGCCTCCCTCGCCCATACCCTCAGCCAAGGGGAGAACAATTTGGGGGTCACCCTGACACCCTAACCCTCCACACGGGGAGGTCAGGCTGCCTTAGGTTCTGCACTTGGCTCTTGGTGGTTGGTCAGAATTCATGTGGAAACTGAGGCCTCACGAGGCCCAAGTTCCAGAGGGACCATACACAGAGTATGGCACGTCTGGGGCTAGAAGTCTGCCTCTCAGCTGCTTGCCTTCTCCTCCCCACAAGCTAAAGACCCATCTGGTTCTCCCTCCACTAAGACCAGGATAAGGGGTGGGGGAAGCAGGCCCCTGCCTCCTCTTTAACCCATTAATGCCCCCAGGAATGCCAAGAGCTGCTGGGCCCCAGACGAGCAGGCCCCCTGGGCACCTTCATGAGACCAAGCTGACCCTGACCCCCAGAGAGCAGCCAAGGTCAGACTCGAGGGGGTGGTGGCAGAGGAGCCAGCTTAGTGGGTGGCCCTGGGCAGCCTACTGCCCCCGTGCTCCAGCTGCCTCATCTGTTCAGAGACCCCCGAGTCCACATGGCCCCAGCTTTTTTGGACAGTCAGAGCAGCACGCCCAGCCGGCACCCTGGTGGCTGGGGGAAGAGACCTGGATCCAATGAAATGACATGGCCTTGTTTCCAGCAATAATTAGTCACTTGGATGTGACACTTAATAAAATGGGACATGATTTCCCTGGGACCCAGAGCCTGTCAGTGGCTGGAAGTGGCCCTGGAGGTGCAGGTGGCAGGGCACTGGATTCAAATTGAGCCCTGCCCCTGTGCACAGAGCTGAGTCAGACCCCCACCCATGGGCTGGTGGGGGAGAGAGACGGCCCAGGGTGACGGGGATACCGCAGGGAAGCTGGGGCGGGGGCATAGCTTCCTGGAGCGGAGGAGCGAGCAGGGGCCCCGGTTCCCGGGCAGATGCCTCTCTCCTGGGTCATTAGGTATTGGAGCACCAGACTCTGAGCACCCTGAGTCCAGCCACGAGGAGTCCTTTCTCCCCAGCCTCCAGGGCCTTCCCCTGCCCCTCCCACTCCCCACCCCCAGGCCCCTGCACTCTCTTCTCCCACCCTCTCCTGACCCTGACTTGGAGGATCCCTGAGGACAGGACCAGGTGCCCTCCACTGCCCTCCACCCAGACTTCCACAAGTCACTAGGCCCCCTCCTGTCTCCTCTTAGGCTGCTCCTGTCCCCGCCCAGGAATACAAGCCCCTGCTGGTGGCTCAGATGGCCCTTTGTCCCCAGCTGGCTAGTCTGGAGCCCATTGTTGGCCCTGTGAAGACGGCCTCTGTCTGCCCGGCCCCAGCCTCAGGCACTCAGGCAGGATCGCCTGGCTCAGGCAGCCACAGTCCCCTGCTGCCGGCCTGGGACCAAGGACGGGCTGGGAGGGGCAGAGGCCGTGGAAGCACAGACCCTGGGGGCGGGGCACTGGCAGCCAACACCACCTCAGTGCCAGCCTGGCACTGCCAGCCTCCCAGCCACAAACCTGAGCCTTGCAACATCCCCTTCCCCACCCAGCCCCCACTTCTCTTCCCTTCTGCCTCCTCAGCCCTGTGTCCTGATGGACCCTCTCAAATCTCTTACCTCCTGATGCCCTCCCTGCCTCCAGGGTTACCTTCCCAGCATGCCTTCCTCCCCGCAGCTCCCCCAGTCCCTGACAGCCCTCCTGCCTCTCCACCTGCCCTCCCCAGCTGTCCCCCACCCTTGCTCCTGAGGTCAGGAGGCCTGGGTCAGCACGAGGTGACCTTGGCCTGCTCACTCACCATGAGGATGTCCGCCGTGATGGCCCAGTTAGAAAACAGCAGCGTCTCCCCCACGAAGATACAGATCTGTCCAGGAGAGACCAGAGCAACCATGAGGGGCCCTCCACCCACCACCGGCCCCAGGCTGCTCCCTGCACACGGGCTGCTGGCAAGGAGCCCCCTAAAAGCCTTCCATCCCTCCCTGGGGTCTGCATCTTCTGGCAGTCATACTGACAAGCAACTGTGAATGATCCACAGACCCCAAGCCATGCCCTCCGGCCCTGAAGGGTTCCCAGAGCCCTTGGCCTGAGCAGAGCAGGGCAGCCAGGGGATTGGATTCTCAGAGCCTCTCCATGGGAAGGGAGGGTCCAACAAGTCAACTGACTCTCCTGCTCCAGACCCTCCCCTGCAGCCCAGGCACAGTCCCTCTACCCCGTGGGCCTCCAGTGCACTCACATAGGCCCCCAAGATGCTGCTCTTGGCGGCCACGAAGATCAGGCAGATGAAGATGGCAGAGCCCAGCATGCCTACTGCACACACCAGCGGATCAGCCCGCTGGGTCCGCAGGCGACACCAGCGTGTGGCTCCTGCACCCGTGACCACACCCAGGAAGCCCGTGAAGCAGGTGATGGCCCCAAAGATGAGGCTGTGGGGACAGAGGACAATGGGGCACAGGTTGGGGTGGGGCACAAGGCCAGGCACAGTGGGGTTCTTCTGTCCAGGTGACCCTCACCAGCCCTGGTGCACCTGGCCTGGCCTCACCTGTCCTTGGCCCCACAGGGTGGGCTGCTGCATGTCTCTGCTGTCTTCTGCACAACTTGGGCGCGGTACAGGTAGAGTGGGATCCACATGCCCAGGGCCCCTGTGGCGAAGGACACAGCCGACGTGGCCAGGGAGGAGAAGACATAGCTCCGGCTAGGGAGAGACGGGGCAGTGGCAATGAGCTGGGGCAGGATCCCAGAAGAGGCGGCCTCTTCTCCCCTGGCCTGCAGGCTCACACCTTCCCCAGGCTCAGAGGCCTCCAATCCATTCCCTTACAGGCTCTGGGGGTGAGGGCTCAGGCTGCAGGAACTCTGGGCTATAAGAATAAACACTAGTAGCCAAATGTCACTCCTAGCACTGTGGGCAGCAGGGACAATGACCCTGGCTTCTGGGTAGGGAGTCTGGCTGCAGGTGCTGGGTGGGCTGCCTTATAGGGGGTCCTCTCATCTCAGCACCCCTCCCTCCTCCCATCAGGACTCACTTTCGGATCAAGGCCTTCATGTCCCGGAGCCACGAGGTGCGTGTCTTGAGCTGCCCCCCGAGCTGGTCCGCGTGCCCTCTCCTAGTAGCCGGGACCAGGACGAGGATGAGCGTTCCTGTGATCATGCCCAGGACAGGGGACACCTGGCAGGGCAGGGAGCAAGTTAGGACACAGGACCCATGTGACTCTGTCTCTGCTGCACCGGGAGGTTGCTCAGGCAAGCTACACCTTCTCTGGGTCCCAGAGTCCTCCTCTGGGCTAGTATCTGGCCAACGTTCCTGGCTGGACTGCTGAGCACTGGGGTGATAATATTAGGGAAGGGCTTAGGGGCCCAAAGTGGACAGACCAGACCAGGGGTGGGAGAGAGAAAGGGATAGATGGTCATATGGATGGAGGAGGGAGGGAAGATGACTACATAGATGGGTGGAGAATAGATGGAGAGAGAAACAGTCGAATGGAAGCAACATGGATGGATGGATGGATGGAGATGGGTGCATGGACAGACAAATGTAATGATGACCTTGGGTGAGAAGGGAGAGTTCCTGGGAGCAAGGAGTCAGACAAGAGTCCTGCCCAAGCCCCTGGGGCTAGGAAAGTTCCCCAGGCCGGCTCCTCGCCCTGTGGGGCACCCTGTGAGGAAGGGCCTGGCTGGGCATGAGGCTTCCAGCTAGTAGATGAACCAGGTCATCATTTGGGAGAGGCCCATGTGGGCCCCAGGGCAACAAGGGCTTGGGGCCACTTTGGGTCTTCCCTGTGTCCAGCCCAGTGTCAAGAACAGAATCTCCAAGGCCCCAGGCCTTCCTGAGGATGGGAAGAGGACCTCTTGGCAGCCCGGGTTCCAATACACCAGCTCTGCCACCAGCCCATGAGAACGGGGGGGTCTGCTCCCACCCGCACCAGGCCTGGGAGCCCATGGGCTAAGGAGTTCCTCTCCATGCCACCCCCTCTCGCTTCCATCAAGAAATTCCACGGAGGCCACTTCCTGCTTTTGAGGAAAAAACACTTTGTCTTCAGCTTCCGCTCCTCCACAAGACTGGGGATCTCTGTTTCCTCCGATTGCACTGTCCTGGGGCCTTGGCGAGCTTGCCCCAAACCCTCCAACAGGACAGGAAGTGGCTTCAGACCCTTGGGGCCCCCACACAGGGTCTCGTCCCAGCCTCACCCTAGCCCAGTGCCAAGGCTCCAAGCAGGAAACACTGCCGTGGAATTGGAATTTCCTGACATGGAGGGACAGTCCTTCACCTCTCAACCTGGGACTCCCAGGGAGGGAGCTTCCAACCCTCAGGCTGGGAGCTCCCAAGAGCAGGGCGGGCCTGGTTCCCCTCATACCTGGGCTCCCTGACATGCCAACCTAGACTAGTCTAGAAGGGCAGAGGCTTCAGAGCCCAGGCAGGAAGCTTGGAGGCCAGGTCTGTGTCGTAGCTTGGGCTGTGACCCTGAATCTCTGGGGGCGGAGGGCACCTGGGCAAGGGCTGCTTTGGAGGTCTGTGTGGAGGGAACCCAGGCCTTACCCGCAAGGCCCAGTGCCAGTCTCCAGCTGCCTGCTTCACGCTGGAGCCAGTGATGTAGCCCAGGCCACTGCAGAGAGGACAGGGCATGGGTCAGGTTTAGCAGGATGGGGGCTGGGGCAGGTAAAGCTCACTAGTCTACAAGGCAGGCCGCCCACCCTCACCACCCAGCCAGCTGGCCACGGAGCGGTTCCGGCATGTCTCCAAGGCTGACCACCCACGTGTTTAGTTAACTGAGGGCATCTGCCTGCTGAACTCCAGGGAGAAGGAGTGGTCAAAAGTCCAAGGGGACCTTGCCCAGATCCTCACCCAAACCCTGGGGTCTCTGACTCTCACCTGCCCAGCGGGATGGCAAAATAGAAGACAGACAGCATGAGCGTCCGCGTGTTCTTGGTGAAGAGGTCACCTATGATGGTGGGTGCGATGGTGGAGTAGCTGGCCTCGCCGATGCCCACCAGCCCGCGGGACAGGACCAGCAGCCAGAAGTACTGTGGGGGAGGGGAGGGAATGCTGGGGGACCACTCTGTTCCTCCCCTGCTCCCCCTCATTCCCACTCTGCTTCCCACCCTTGCAGGCTCCAGGAGCAAGAGGAGAGCATGGAGCCCAGCCCCTGCTTCAGCAATGCCTACACCCCTAGACCACTGTGGGCCTCACTCTCCCTCTCTGTATAGTGAGCCTGTCTGGGCCTGGTTGGCCAAGTGTTGGCATGGGACTGGGCTTCCCTAGGTTGACAGCTGCAGGTATGGCCTAGACAGGCCCCTCTGTCCCTATAAGCACTGGGCTGTGGGGACACAGGCCCCACCTGTTGGGAGACCTCCTCCCTAGGTTCTAGACTCACCTCGGGGGCCTCAAGTCATCCCCCTTCCTGCGTCCCTCCCCCAAGCAGGGCAGCTGGGCTGACCTTGGCAGTGTGAGTGGGGAGTGGGCAGGGTGGTCCAGTGGGCTCAGCAGCCCCTCCCCGATGCACACATCAAAGAGCAAAGCCCAGCTCAGCTGGGAAGGGTGGGGCTGTGCCAGCTGCGAGTGGTACTACCCCTTTGATGTGGACCCCTCCCCCATGCCCCCAGCTGCCCAGGGCCTGAGAACCCAGCCTGGTCATCTTTCCCCAGCCCCACCCTGACCACCCATCCGGCCAGCATCGCCCACGACCAGCCCTGCCCTGGGTCTCCCTGCTTCCCTCTATCTGCCCATCTTTCTCCTGGGTCTCCCCTGCATCCTTGGTACTGCCCATCCATCTCTGCCCGAGCTCATTTCTGTAGCTATTCCCTCTCTCACTCTCCCCATTTCTGTGGCTCTCCTTAGCTCCTGTCTATTTTTCTCATCCTGGGACTCACCTGCCCGCAGCCTTTGCCTGTTTTCCTGTTGAGTTCTTTGTCTTGTTTGTATTGATTCACATTCGCTTTTTACAGATCATGGCTGCTGACCCTACATTGCATGAGTCACAGACATTCTCTTATCTTCCTTTCAACTTTGTTTATGGGGCATGTCACCGTACAGAAGTTTTGTTTTGTTTCATTTGATGCTATCAGATCTGCTGATTTTTCCTTAGTGGTTTCTGGATTTCAGAGTTTGCTCAGGGAAGGCCTACTTCATCCCCAAATTATCAAAATATTCTCTTACATTTCATGTGTGGTATATTTTCAAGAGAAAGTGAACGGGAGAGATTACATCAACCATTCTCCTTTGTGCAATAGCGGGCAGATACAGCCTCTTTTATGAGGGGATCCTGTTTATCCCTCCCTCCACCCTCAGGAACCCGCTTTATTGAGCATTTGTTGAGAATCCCTGTCTGTCTCTGCTTGCACATATATGCATCAATGAGCGACATACAGTGTCCTGTGCGCATGCCTTTAAAAAATGAACAGACACGGCACCATTCCGAACAACTTGCTTTTGTCCTTCAATCTTATCTTTTTGGAAACCCATTTATGCTGGTTAATGGAGATCTAGTCGATTCTTTTGCAGTCAAGAATTTCAAAGTATGAATACACCCCGTTTCCTCTGTGCGTCTCCCAGCGATGGGCATTTAGTTCGTTCCTGCTTTTTTCTATTCCAATACTGCATGAGTCACTTCATGTCCACGAATTGGAGCTTCTCCTCTGGGTCTATACCTCGAAGTAGAATGCTGGGCTATGGGATCTACACCGTATTTTACAACTACTGCCTTTTTGCTCTCCAAAGAGGCTCTACCAATTTTAGACTCCCACCAGCGGCACCCGAGTCGCTGATTCTCCACAGCTTTAATAACACTTGGTATTGTCAGCCTTTTTAATTGTTGCCAATCTGATGGGTGTGAAGTGGTATCTCATCGTGATTTTAATTTGCATTTCCCTGATTACTCGAGAGGCTGCGCCTGCATCATCTCCTCCTGCATTTATTGCTTGCTTGGGTGTCTTCTTCCGGAACTGCCTGTCACTATCGTTCACCTGTTTCTCTCCTGGGTTACTCGTCTTTTTTCTTGTTGATTTATAGTTCTAGATTTTTTTACAGTTTGCTTTTTACTTTACGTTAGCTTATCTGGCATTCATTTTGCAGTATGGTTTGACATACAGACCCAACGTTATTCTCAGTCCAGACAGACTTTGGTGCTCCCAAAACCGTTCATTTAAGAAGTGACTTTCCCCATACACTAAATCCCCATAGAATTGAGGACTCTTCTTCATTGATCTCTTGGTCTATTCCTCTACTGTTTTAGTTAGAATAACTATATTTTGATATCCAGTAGGGCAAGTCCCCTTTCACTATTATTTTTCCCAGTGTTCTTGGCTGTTCTTGGGTATTTTCTCTGCCAGATGATCTTCAAGAGCACGTTGCCAAGGTCCACCAAAAACCCAGTGGAACTCGGACAGTGATTGCAATGAATTTGTACACTAATTGCGGGTGATCTGTGGGTTTCTCTCTCTGCCTCTGCTCATCTTTGCTCCAGCCCGCCCTTCCTTCCACACACCTGAGCTGGGCCGGCCTTGGCATCATGGTTCTGGGCTCAGGGGTTAGCCCCGGAAGCAGTCCCAGAAGTCAGATGACCAGAGGTCTGGTCGGGGCAGGAGAGACCCAAGGGGGACCCAGAAGCTTCTAGCGCAGTTCTTTGTTCACTGTGGATGCCAGGCTCTACCTGGTACTTGGGGCTGGACCTCACCTGGGCCTAACTCCTCTCTCAACTGCTCCGTGAAGCAAAATTGTTCCCCAAACCTGTTGATTTATCTCTGTCCTCACCTCCAACCTCCATAATCCACATAAATCTGACCCCACCAGTGCCCATCTCCAAACACTTACAGGGCTCAGTCAATACTGAGCCCCTCAGGAGAAAGTGCCCCCCTCACCCCACCAGCACTCAAGGCTCTCTATGACCCCCTCTTTGCCTTCCTTTCCAGCTAAGGTGCTCTCCTCCTCCTCCCCTCAATACACTCCACCATTTCTGCATCTGTGGGTTTGCTTCCTCTGCCCATCCTGTCTTCATCAAAAGGCTGAGTCTCCCTGTCCTACCTGCCCAGCTCAAAGGCCACCTCCTCTAGAAGCCTTCCCCAGCCCCGTGGATTTCTCTCTTCAGTAAGAACTCTCAGCACTTTGCACATCTTGGAGGCTATGAGTGTGCGAGCTCCTGTCCCATCTTTCCACCCCCAGCCTAGGTGCTCCCGGGGGACAGGACCTGGGTATCCTTCTTTGTCTCCCAGACTGAAGGCTCCTTGAGGACAGAGCCTGGTCTTCTCCTCTTTTTCCTCCATCTCCCTGTACAGCAGCCATCACATGATTGTCCAGCCTCTGTCTGAACACCCCTAGTGATGGGAAACTCACTACCTCATGAGGCAACATAAAAAAATAGAAACAATGATTTGTTGAACACCTGCTGTGTTCCAGGGTCTGGGCATTCATTAGCTCAGTTAGTTCATACAATAAACTTTGAAGATGAGACTTATTATCCTCATTTTATAGATAAGGAAAGTGAGGCTCAGAGAGGTTAAGTAACTTTCTCCAAGTCACAAAGCTGAATAGGCAACAGAGCTGAGATCTTCAAACCCAGCTCTGCCAGAGTCAAGCGAGAAACACCTTCTTTATGTCGAACTGTTGTTTCCCCTCCTGGAACTTTGACACAAGGAGTTAACTGATCATCAGACAAAACAGCAAACTGAGTAAGACCAGAGAGGGGTAGTGACTCCTCTAGGGCCACACAGCAAGGCGAAGGCAAAGGCAGGACTAGAACCCAAGGGTCCTAATTCTAGGCCAGGTTGTTTCCACTGTTTCTTGCATTGTCCCCAAGTCAGAAGATGGCTCAGAAAGAGTCATCACACAGGGCTGCAAGTCCCTGAGTTCAGGCCAGCACGGGGAAGCCCCAGCTGCAGGGCTAGTTTATAAAAGTACCTAGACGCCCTCATCCTACTGCACTTGGAAGACACTGGGGTTCGAGCAAAGGAGCCGGAACCCCCAGTCAGACCAGCCACCCACTGGTACTAGGACACGTAGATGGGATGTGTGAAGATGCAGGGGGGAAGCTGGGGGAGTCTCACCTGCTGGGGGATGAAGGAGCTGGAGAAGGTGACCGCAGACCAGAAAAAGATGCCGCAGCTAAGGATCACCTTCCTGTTGAAGCGGTCACCCAGGTAGCCGAAGATGGGGGCGGCCACCATGAAGCTGCAGATGAACACTGTGCAGGGAGAGGAGGGCTTGAGGGGTGGCGCAGGCTCCCTGGGGCCAGGCCCACCTGCCCACACCGCCCCAGCTTGAAGCCAAATGCCTGGGCCCAGGACTGAGGAAGCAGCCCAGAGGAGGCAGGAAAGGCCTCTCTGGGTGAGGGTGGCACCACGACCCCACCGTCTTCTAGGCACGCCCACAGCTCGCCCAGTCCCCGGTGAGCCCTTTGGGTACTTTGGTAAAAAGTCAACATCCAGGTTGCACAACATGATTGCTATCATTGGTGCTACTGAATTGTACAAGTGAAAGATGTTCAATTGGCAAATGTTTTGTCATCTATATTTTGACAACCACAAAAATAAATAAAATATGGAGAAAAAAAGAGTAAACATCTATTTATGGAATACTTTGCGTGTGTCAGGCACTGTGCTAGTGACCCACTACACAGCATCTCATGTGTCCTTCCAACCTCCCTGCAGGTTAGGGGTTGTCCTCCCACCTCGCAGATGGGGAGATGAGGAGACAGAATCAGAGAGGGGAAGTGACTTGTCCAAGTTCCACAGGCAGTAAATCTCCCAGCAGGGATTGAACTCACTCTATCTGATTCCAGAGCCTGTGTGCTTATACTGGGTCACACTGCTCTCTTTATCATACTTGGAAAAACAGGTTCAGAGAGGGAAAGGAACCTAGCTAAGGTCACACAGCAAGTCAGGGCAGAACTGGGTCTGGAACCCCGGTCTCAGTCCTGCCAGATCACATAGTCACCCTCATGCCCAGTGGGCTGCAGAGGCTTTCCCAACAGCTGCAAACACTGTCATTCATTCATTCAGCAAACATTTTGTTTGGGTGCCTATATAGTGTGCCAGCAACCCGTTTTAGGTGCTCGGGATACATCAGTGAACAAAACAGACAAAAAGTCCTGCCCCGCTGGAGCTTTCATTCTAGTGAGGAGAAACAAACAATTTTTTTAAAAAAAACAAAAGTAAAAAATATAGTACGTCAGATGGTACAAGTTCTAAGGAGAGGAAAAACAGCAGAAATGGGAGCTGGGAAGCATAAGTGTGTGAGAAAAAGCTGATGTTAACATTTTAAATAGAAGAGTTAAAGAAGGTGACAATTCAATAAAGACCTAGAGTTGGTGAGGAAATGAATCATGCAGAGACTGGGGCAAGAACAGCCAGTGCAAAGGCCCTGGGGCAGGAATGTGCTTGGCATGTTGGAGGAGTAGCAAAGAGGCCAAAGTGGCTGGAGCAAAGGGAGCAAGGGAAGAGGGGTAGGAGACAAGGTCTGGAGTCTCACTGTGAGGGCTGTGGCTTCTGCAGATGAGAAAGGAAAACACTGGAGGATGCTGAGCAGAGAAGTGACATGACCTGGTTTTGTTCTTCCAGAACAAGAGCACAGCAGAGGCTTATAGAACTCCATAGGGATGCTACCATCAGAGCTGGGAGGAGCCTCAGGGATCCCAGGAGGGATGAAGAGGTGCAGAGCAAGGCAAAAGAGGCTCCAGGTCACACAGCAAGGCAAACCCCCATCCCTCACCCTGAAAGACAGTCCCGCAGCTGACGGGCAGATGGCCAGACAAAGGCCAGGGGTGGGCAGAAAAGGCTGGCCTCTGACCGCCAGGATGAATGTGCCTGGACTCAGCTGCTCCACCACCGACCTGAGTCCCCAGGGGCAGGGGCCTGGGAGAAGAGAAAGAGGGAGAGGAGGAGGGAAGACAGGAAGAAGGTGAACAAGAGGGAAGAGGGCTGAGCAGAGGTCCCCTAGACTGGGCTGGAGGAGTGGGGCTGCCCTCTCTTATTCTAGCAAGAGCAGGGTGGGTGGGTGGGTGTGGGCTGTGGGCGTGGGGAACCTGCAAATCCCAATTCTGCATGACTAGACCTCAGGCAGGATAAGCACAGAGGTGTGAGAACTTGGGCACCAGGGACACATGGCCTCGGTTCCTTCCTACCTGGGCGATCTTGGGCAGGTTATAATCTCTCCATGCCTCAACCTCAGTGATGTGCTGGTAAGTCTTTAACAACTGGATCTCCAAAAAAGGGGGGAAATCCCCGATCTGTAGTGTTTGCCAATTTCTGTGGTATAAATACTCCCATCACGGCTGATTTCAAGCCACCAACGTGATGTCACTGATCACGGAGCTGGGAAGCGATGCACAGCAGCACATCATGAGAAAAACCTTAAGAACCTCAATAATCGTAAAATGTAGTAAAATAATTAGGAAGTGATGACTTTGGAGTATTTACGGCCTTTGTTTTAATATAATGTGTTCCCTTGTAATTTTATATAATTTGGTTTTTAATAATAACTGTGTTTAACAACTAGCTAACATAATTCCTGAAAATTTAACAATCGACTCTCCTGAGTCGATACAGGCCAGCTCCAGCACGCCAACCTCCTCATCTGTAGAATGAAGATAAAAATAGCAACTCCCGGGGTTACTCTTAGTACAGGATGAGGTAACACATGTAAGGTGCTGAATACCACACCCTGCCCGGAGTGGGCCAGCCTCAGTCAACACTGGCCATTGTTTCGATTAGTCAAGGCAGAAATTACTTCCTCATATGTAGAAAAAAAGAGAATGATTCCTACGGGGCCTGCCTCCCAGCGCCTGCCTGAGATCAGACCAGGAGATGGGCTGGAAAGAAATTTAGGTTGCATCAGGACTTACACACATTAGGGGGAGGAGGAAGAATTGATCCCTCTGTGCCTGTTTGTGCTGGGTGAGGAGTTGGTAGCGAGAAGCCAGAGTAGGAGCTGCTCCACTTGTCTGTCCAGGGAGAAGGGCCACCTGTCCATAGGTTGCCCAGTTTAAAGGGCTAAAATGCAAGGGGAACCAGCAAGGAGCACTAAATCCTGCCAGGATAGTTAAGGAAGGCTTCATGGATGGAGGCAGTGATGGCAGAGCAGGGCATTGAAGGATGCATAGGAGTTCACCATGATGATGATAATACTCAAATAAAAAATCTTGTAAGCAATAATGTACAATGGTTAATGATGCATAGTGCTTATTATTAATAATAAGCAGTTATCAGTGATGGAGCACTTACTATTGGCCAGGCCCAGGGATGAGTCCTTGACATATGCACAGATTATCTCAGTTAATTCTCACTATTATCTTCATGTTACAGGGCAGAAAACAGAGGCTGAACAAGGTGATGTCACACAGCTAGTACGTGGCTGGGCCAGAATTTAAACCCCAGTTTGTCTGACTCCAGAGTCCTTCCTTGCTCTAAACCACACTACAGGCTATCAGGCTGGGAAGGGAGAAGGTCCCAACTGACGTTCCCAAGGTCCGAGAAAGTCCAGGGTGTGTTGGGGACAGCAAGGAGAAGGGTCAGGCTGCAGCAGGGGAAGGTCATGGGGAAGCAGTGGGAGATGAGGCTGTGGAGGGAGCCGGGACCCTAAAGACTAGGACCGGGGCTGGGGTTTGAGTGAGAAGGCAATGGAGAGCCACGGCAGGGTCGATTCTCCCTCATCAAGGCTGAGCACTTGCAAAAGCCCCCCAGGTGGCTAAAGAGGGGGTAAAGGGAGTGGCCCAGGCCCTTGGCCAGACTTTGGCCATGCTGGTCCATCCCCACCCTCCTGGCCTCATCAGATACAGAAGGGTAGCCCCTCCTGTTTTTTTGACCCCTGGCTCTCTGCCTGCCTACTTAGGGGAGTAAGGGGACAGAAGCACCCAGAGTTGTGGTTGGATTCCTCTCAAAGCAGGCACCCCCCACCCCTACCGCTAGTCCCAGCATGCCAAAGCACCTACATGCCATGCCCTCAGCTCACCTGAGCTTCACCCCATCTGTTCCCATTTTACAGCTAGGACCACTGGGGCCCCAAAAGATGGAGGAACTTGCCCAAGATGACACAGCAAGTCAGACGGGGACAACATGCCGACCACCGCCTGTCTCTCAGTGCCTTCCTCCCAGGGACAAGGGAGTCCAGGGTCAGAAAGGAGACAGGATCCATCTCTGCTCAGGGCAGAGAGGAGAGAAGACCTATCTGGCCCTCTGGGATGTCACAGGCTTAGGGGGAGGCCTGAACACAATCAAAGTAGCAAACAGAATGAAGAAGATTCCTGGCAGAAGGAACATAAATGCAAAGGCCTGGACTTGTGAGCTGTGTCCCAGGTGGAGACACAGAGGCTTAGCCAGCTGTCTGGCAGCTTGTGCTACAAATTAAGACCAGCCCAGCCCAGGCCCCTAGGCTGGAAGCTTCCTGTGCCCACCACCTGCAACCCCGTGGTCTTTGTTTGTCTGGGGAGAGCTTTCTGGACCAACGGTCTGCCCCACCTCTGATTTCGGTAGGGGTGGCTTTCCCAGCAGTTCCCACACGAGGACATCCTGTGCCTAGGGCGTGGGGAAGCCTCGCTCAGCTCACGTGTGCTGAGCCCACAGGTCTGGGACAATGGAGCCGCAGGCAGGAAGCCAGGGCAGAGGGGGCAGGGCCGCCAGGGGGCAGGTTGGCAGGAGTCAGACGAAGATTCCAGCCCACCAGTGACCTTGGCCACTAAGCCCATGCTCTCCTCTGGGATGGGGTTGATGCCCCTTCCTCACAGGGCTGGTGAGAAGTCCCCTGAAAGACGGAGTTGGACAAGCTCCCGCAGATGCTGTCCACCTCTCACGGCGGTCTCAGTAGAGAGTCAGCTGTACATAGTGCTCATCAGCCGTCTGCTGCCTGAAGGCCTTCTCCCTGGACACTGCCAGATTAAACTCTGTGGAGGACTCTGTGCCCTGTGAGGCAGCCCCGAGACCCCTCTTCCCCTTGGAGCTGCTGCGTACCCTCACCTCATGAGTGGCCCTGTTTGACCCCCAGTGTGGTCCAGGAGCAGGAGTGGGTGAGGCTGGAGCTGGGAGGACCCTGGGCTCCCACACTGTGGCCTTGGAGCCTGCGCTCAGCCCCCGCCTCAGCCTGGGCTCAACCAGGGCTATTTTTATTTACAAAGTCTGGATTCCGGCCGGCCTGTTATTTGGAGAAGACCAGTCATCCTCCACATCCTGTGGGCAGGGAGGCTGCTCACAC